TTCAGACGATCGCTTGATCGTTTCTTGCAATCTCTGTTCCTGTTCAGACAATTTGAGAGACAAGTCCTGGACTGACTGATTCCTCACATTCAGCTGCTCTTCCAAAGCAAGATTCTTGTCACTCAGCACTTGAATGTCCTTTGCAAACGACTCTTGAGTGTCTTTGAGCTTGGATTCCATCAAATCAAGAGCTGATTGCACAATCGACAGATTCTCTTGCAATTCATGAGACATATTGGTCTTGTCCACCAAGTGGCTTCTCAAATCAGTCAACTGATTGTCCTTTTCAGTCCCTTCCTTCATGAGTTGCTGAATCTTGTCAAGAAGCACTTTTTGATGCTCCTGTTGTGCATCAAATGATTTTTGAACCAGTTGCTGTTGTTCTACTGCATGAACTGCAATCAACTGTTGTTCTTGGACTTGGTGTTCCAGTTGGGAAACATGTGCGTTTGAAAAGGCAAGTTTTTCATGCAACAATTCTGTTTCTTGCACCTGCAGTTGTTGCTCTCGGACACGTTCGGACATGAGTTCCTGATGCTTTTGTACACTCAAAGATAAGTCAGCTTCTAGTTTCTTGATGGTGCTTTCAAGTGGGTGCACTTGAGCACTCAGATTTTGGATTTGCTTGTCCTTTTGTCCGATTTCAGTTGACATTTCACTTAGGAGTCTCTTGGCTTGCTTCAAATCTGATTCTTTTTCTTCCAGATCATGTTTGAGTGCTGCATTTAGAGTCAGTGTCTCTTTGAGGGATTCCTGACTGGATTCGAACGATGCTTGCTGACTCTTGACAGTCGTTTCTAGTTCTGCTAATCTGGTCGATTGAGTGTCTAGCAACAACTGCTGCTGTTGGATCTTGTCTTCTCTCTCTTTCAGAGTCTGTTGATGAGAAGAGACTGCGTTTTCGAGTCCAGAAATCTCCAAGAGGTTCTGAGACTGCAACTGTGCCATCTCTTGCATGGCTTTCTCATACAAGAGCTCTTTCGTCTTGAGATCCTCTTGGATCGACAACAAAGTCTGTGACTGTGAGGCAGACTCAGCATGCTACCATTAATCCAGTTGCCTTTTGGTCCAATTGCTCGTTCAATGTCTGTTTCTCCTGCAAGAGTCTCTCCAGATCCCCTTGCTTGGACTCTAGCTGCGTCTTGAGTTGATCCAATGCGTTCTGTTTGAGAGCCATGTCCTGCTGCAACTGGTCAATCACAGACTGCTTTGATGTCAAGTCTTGTTGCATCTCAAGTGATTTCTGCTCCAACAGTGGATCAGACTGTCCAACACTTGGTTGTTTTGAAACTGTGTCTAGTTGCTGTTCCAAGTGCTTGATCTTTGCCAAAGCCTGGTCATACTGTAACTCTAGCTGTTCAAACCTGGTCCTCATGTCACTTGGTTTCTCTTGCTCCTTAGTAGGCGATCCAGGTTCCACTTGATCGTCTTCATCTTGCTGGTCCATCTTTGTCACAGTCATTGAGATATCCTGCAGATTCTTTGTCTTGACTGCCATCTTGACCAACGACTTGTACGCATCCAGCCATGTGTCTTTGTCTTGTTTCGTAGCAAATGACACAATGTATCTGTTTGGAGTGTCATACTCTGAGTTTGGCAGGATTTCAATCTCGAGCATATACCTCTGGACTCTATCCTGTGCATTATCCACAATATCACACACACGCGTGTCTTTGATCACAGTCTTTTCAATCACATGGTGCTTGTCTCTCATTCTCTCTTTTCTGGCAATAATCAGAATATCATTGAACAAAAAGATCTTTCTGGTTTTGAAAAAGGAGGCAAAGATCACTTGGATGGCATCTTCTCTGACAAGAAATCTGTTTGGGTTGGAAATGTTGATCTTTTCAGCAAATCTGGTTTGTGTTTCGTAGATGGCTTCATATGACACCAGTTTCTTGGAGCATTCGTTGATGGCTTTGACTGCACCTTGAATCTTCTCCAAAGCACGTTGTAGATCTGGATAGTCTGGGTGCGAAGTGGAGGCATGTTTGATGATTTCACGAATCAAGAGTGGATACTTGCAGATGCGCTGGACTGGCTTGAGCATGAAGCCGTTCAGATCAAGTTTTCGCAAATGCGGCTTCTGGTACGTCTTCTAACATCACTACAAGTACTTGCAGAAACGCTTTGACCTCTGGTTTGCTCAACATCTGCTGCACTTGCTTGTTCGTTGTCTGTTGCATGGCACAAAAGGGTGTGTAGTGCATGAATCGCTCCGCTGTCTGCATGAACACATCTGCACACTTTTTGAGGTCCTTGAGATCACTCAATCCCTCCAGTTGCTGGAGAAAGTCTGTGCTGATCGTCAACAGATACTCGATATTGCAGAACAACAGCTGTAGGTTGCGCTTGTCCAGTTTCATGTTCTGCATTGGTTTCATGAAATCATTCACCAGAATAGCTAGATCTCTGCAGTAATCTCGCTCAGTCATGATGAGTTCCCAAATGGCAGAGTACAACTTGCGTTGCTGTGGTGTCAGTTGTGCCAATTGGTCTTTTGTAAACTTTTGTTGCCACTCTGTCAGTGCTTCCTTGATGGATTCTTGAGATGAAATCACATCCTCCAAGGAGTTGGCAAGCGACTCTCTGGATCCAGCTGGTGCCGAAGACGATCGAGAGCGTTTCTCCTTCATTTCCTTAGACAGCGGAACTGGCTCTGGATCGACAGACTCTTTGGACCCCTTCTTGTTCCAAGTGACACCTTTGCTCAACAGTGGCACTGGTTCAGACACTTGGTCGTTGCTCGTGGATTTGGATCTCTGGTGCTTCTTTTCTGAGAGATCAGTTTGAGACTGCAGCTGCTTGATAAAGCCCTGAGCCAGAGTCTCATTTGATCTGGCTAATCCCAAACCAATTGATGTGGGGGCATCCTTGATGGGCATGAATCTACCAGCAACAGATGTAGGAATAATCGTCGATTGAGAGCTCACTGACTCTTTGGATGGCAATCGAGGCAATCTGCTCTCTCTTGATGAAGTATCAGACTTTTGGATGCTTTCTTGAGACAGCGTCACAGTCTTCTTTGGCTTCTTGGTTTCGGTTGATTTCTGACTGTTTTCACGAGATGGCACATCTGGCATCGACTGCTTACGTAGTATCTTGTGCCCACTCGATTCTGGCAAACTTTGCTTTCGCTCTTCTATCTTCAAAGCTTGCTTGACATAGTTGCAAGGAAACCAACCAATCTTACTTGGCTGGTCAATCAGATAACCTCGCCACCATCCACCTTCTGGCGATTCCAAGACAACGATTTGGTCTCCTTCGCTAAACTCAAGCTCATCTGGCTGCTCTGGATCAAAATCGTACTCTGCTATCACCACTTGGTCTTTCGCGACAGTTTGGATCGCGTCAGGCTGGCCAGCAACGACACACTCTTTCGGGAAAAAGCCTTTGGCTCCTTTGCGTATCCCACTCACCATTTGGCCATAGTACCAGTAATCCTCGTGATCTGGCATGTGCTCCAGTTCGATCAAATCGCCAATCTCAAGCTCCAACTCCTCCAACTCGAGAGCTCTAAAGCCCTTGACGACTTTCAAAAGACTACCACTATTCAACACATCTAGACTTTCCACAGAATCAAAGTGAAAGTTGTTGAGCGACTCTTTCGACAACTGGAGGGATGTCAGATTGATGGGTTTACGCGATACAGTTAGTAGATGGGATGGTTTTGGATACAATGTTCTCTCTACGTTGACATCGCTGATGGCAAAGTCACCAGAGTCAGTCACGACAATCGACAGTGGTTTCGGTGCCGAATCTAAGATGGTGCCAATGTGGACAGATGGAGAGCGTGAGAGCGCTTCCAGGTTGGTTGTTGGCAGATGCTCATGAGACCTTTTTATCGCAAACGCTAGTGGTATATCGTCCTCGGAATCTGCCATTCTCGCAAAGATGACGTGTTGCTCAGATGTACGACCACACAATGACCAGCTGCCACTAGACAACCGGGGATAGATGATCAGAAATGTACCACGGGTCTGTTCGCTCCTTTCGATCGGAAAGAAGTGGCAGGACTACCTGCAACCGTGGGGAAAAGCAAATATAATGTCCAGATCCCTGTTTAGTTCATGGCACGCAATTGGCGCTTGAAGTGCTCCTCAAGAGGACCCTTCTCAGCCAAGTACTTGACGTAGCAACCATCTGGCTGGAGCATACCCTGAGCTCTCTTCTCAACATATTCCTCACGAGTGAGCTTGGTGAAGCCCCACTTGTTGGAGATGATGATCTTTTGGCGACCAGGGAACTTGTACTTGGCACGACGCAAGGCTTCATAGACAATAGCCTTGTTGTTGTCACGGGTACGGATGGACATCATGACTTGACCAATATTGACACGGGCAACAGTGCCTTGAGGCTTACCCCAAGCACCACGCATACCCTGCTGCAATCTATCGGCACCGGCACAAGACAACATCTTGTTGATACGAATAACATGGAATGGATGGACACGCATACGCATGTGGAAGGAATCCTTACCAGAGTTCTTGACAATGTACTTGTTGGCGCAAATACGAGCTGCCTCCAAAGCTTCAGAAGAAATCTGCTGATATTCGTCGGAGAGCAAGTGGATCGTCAATGGGAATTCATCCACATTAGCCTTCTTTCTGCCCAAGTCGAAGATTCTGATTTTTGGGTCTGGCACACCACGGTTGTAGCGAGACTTTGGGTAAGGCTTGTTCTTGCAGTAACGGTAGCAACGAGCTGGACGGCGACCCATTCTGAAAAGTGCGAAAGCCTTGCGCAGAAAAAGGACGCGTCGGAAAATTAGGTGCAATTTGATTGGTGCACGCTGGCGACAACTCACCAAATCCGAGTAAGCTCGGTGGAACAACGGGGAGCCTATTTCTGAAGCGTTGGATGTGTTGGCAAGGGTGTGGGTGTTCCACGATCTTCCATTCATCCCTAATGGCGTTCCTTCAAAGTAAAATTGCACTCCATCTCATAATCAAGGATCAACTTGATATCGACTGTTGACAAAAAGGACAGAGAGGGAAAAAGGGGGCTTCCGGGAATCGAACCCGGGACCTCCCGCACCCTAAGCGAGCATTATACCACTAAACCAAAGCCCCTTCAAAACTCGAAATTTCCGGCTTTGTACTGAGTACACCAAATTTTGATAGTTTTCAAGTGCTTAAACACTGTTTTAGAATAGGATTGGTTGAGTGTGCTGTATTTCGTCGCGTTGATGCGTATCTGACACGATAGATCTCTCTTTCTCCCCTGAGAATCATTCGTTTTCATCCAGGTTGTTGTAGATGATAGAAAAGAGGAACAGAAAGTGATCGGTGAATGTCGAAAAGTCTGTACTTTTATTTCTTTTGAGATCGTTCTCTTGACAATACCTTGAGATTAAGAGTCCAATACCAAGAGCCACACTCTTGATCAGTGACTGTCAGAATGAGACTCTCATATCTAAGTATTGTCAGGGGACAAAGACTTTTGAATCGTGCCACTTGATCAACCGGCACAACTGGATTCACCGCTGATGGCCAGAAACACTTGAATCACACAAGCACTAGTCTTGAGTGAATGTCTTGTTTCCAGAAATCTTGAGGAACACTGCCACTTGGACACATCTCGTTTGAGAGATCATGTGAGCGTCGGTTGGGTTTTGCCAGCTTTCCGTATGTCTTTGTATCAAGCGATTGACGAAGGTCTTGTCTTGGGTCTCTACTTTGGATTTGTGGGTCTCATGTTGTCTTCCAGTCTTGGACAGCAGTTGTGGGAAGCTCTTCAGACTTTGGATACTCTTGTGCTTGTGGTTGGTGTTCCAATGGCTCTGACAACATCTGTTTACTGGCTGTACGGTGGCATCTACTGCTACATTGACTTTTGTGCTCCTGCACTCTGGAAACACAAGATCCAGAAGCGTCGAGTGTCGAAAGACCAGTATCTGCACTGTGTGTCGTTGGTGCTGCTGAACATGCTCATTGTCAATCTGCCACTTGCGTATCTTGGGTATCACTTTGAGATCATCAAGAACCACGGTATTCGAACGAGTCTCCCAAATGTGGTGGAGTTTGGCGTCCAGCTTGGATTCTTTACCATTGTTGAAGAGATTGGATTCTACTACTCTCACTGGCTCTTTCATCATCCAGCCATCTACAAATATGTGCACAAGATCCATCATTCGTTCCCAGCACCTGTTGGCATCGCATCCATCTATGCACATCCACTTGAGCATCTGGTTGCCAACATGCTTCCAATCGTGTGTGGACCACCAATTTTTGAGTCCATCTTTGGAATCACACCCCACATTGTCACTTGCTGGTTGTGGTACACTACTGCCATTCTAGTGACCATCACCAGTCACTCTGGCTACAAGTTCTTTGGCTTCCCATCCAGTCTCGAACATGATTTCCACCACTACGCCTTCAAAGACAACTACGGGTCACTTGGGCTCTTGGATTACTTGCATGGCACCAACAGGAACTTTATTGCCTGGAAAAAGAGCTACCAATCACTCAAAGAAGAGTGACTAGTAAAAATCTAGGCATTGATCCATGATATCACTCAGTTGTCTGGAAGCCTTTGACTCTCTCTGGCTGTCACTCAACTGTCTCGATGGTTTTGAATCTCGGTGATAGTCCCAGTCAGAAAAATCTACTTGTGAATCTGATTTTCGTGAGGGAATGTAAACACAGTGTCTTCGCTCCACATTCAGTGACTCCTGGCTACTTTTGGTGCTGGATAGCTTGAGACTGGATGCATACAGAGGAGCGAGCTGGTGTGCAATGGGAATATCTTGTCGGGTTCCTGGATAATAGACTCCCACTCTTGGTTCGAACTCTTCCGTCTCCCAGTCGTCCTTGATGGGCACTTCTTTGACTGAGCTCTTGAGGGAGGCGTTGGAAGAGAATGACATTGTCTTACGACGAGACAGTGTTCTCTCAAACGATGGCTTCTCTTTCTTCTTTGGAAGTTTGAACAGAGACGTCACTTTGTCAAGCACACCTCTCAAACTGGGTTTCTCAACAATCGTCTTTTCAGAATGCGAGGGGAAAATAAAAGTACTGAATCTAGGAGCAGTTGTTGTCATGTCCTTTGGGTCTATCTGTACTCTGAATGCATCATCCTGCAGAATGTGTGGTTTCTCTGGCAATGGCTTGTTTCTCTTCATGTGCGTGTCGCGCGAAGATCCACGAGTCAACAACAGATGAGATCTCACATGACATTGAGTATGTCGCGTAGATGAGTGTCAATTGGCACACGCACAGATGAGAGTGGATAGACGACTGTGTCGCGCACGTCACTCTTTGATGGAATCTCAAACGCATCTCGAGAAACCAGAATCGTCTCCAAAGTCAGCTGTCCTGGAAGACGACAACTACTATGCCAGTGGCTTGTTTGATATCCAGACATCACCAGGCATGAAGATTCTCGATGCTTTAAAGGAACGTTCTGACATTGACCAGCAAGTCATTGAAAAGTACAGGTCTGGATTCCTCTCTGCTTACAATTACTTGGTTGGGGCATCGCAGTATCATCGTGATTTGGCAAAGAAACTCAAATCTGCCATTCAGGACGTGACTTTACAGCGATTAGAGAAAGATAGACTCATTTCCAAGCATTTCAGAGGCAATGCTGAAATCGGAGAATTGAAGCGTGAATTGCTCAAGATTCAGAACGAAGTCAACCTTGCCCTGGACAGAGAGACAAAGCTATCGACAGAAATTGATGAATTAGCCAAGCAGAAGCAAGATTACCTACACGATATTGAGGAAGTTAGGAGACACAAAGCAGATTTGCTGGAACCACAGCTGATAACTGCTACCAAAGAGTTGAAACTGGATTTGATCCAAAGACGCAACCAAGTCGAGAATCTCCAAAAGGACATGGATGAGAAGCAAGCAGTGTATGAAACTGTGATGCAAGAACGCGATCGACTGGATATGGAGAGAGAAAAGCATGCGTTGATCCTTGCCAAGTCTTCAGAGACACCCATCAAGATCTTGAAGCAGATTGATGTCCTCAGAGATGGCTTAAATGCACTTGGTGGTGAAAATGCCAAACAAATCACACTTGGCAACTCTCTGGACAAGGAACTGCAACGACTGGCAGAAAAGAAGCGTATGCTGGAAGAAATGCGTCTTGGACATGCTGCAGACTTTGAGCAGCGACAAGGTTTGATCCATGAGATGGAAAAGCAAGTCGATGACATTTTCAAGGAGCATGAACTTGCCAAGGAGCAACTGGCATTCCAAAAGGCAGAGAGAGTGAGATTGGCAGGTGCTATTAAGCGAACAAGCCAAGAAATCAAGCGAGAACATGATCTCGTGTTGCGAGTCATTAGAGAAAAGGACACCTATCTCAAGATGCATGCCAGACTAGAACTGACTGTGGCGAATATCAAACTGTCTACACCCACACTCATGAAGCAAGCTGAAGATTTCAAGCGACAATTGGATGCCGTCAAATCAGATCAGCGTTACTACAAGAAACAGATCAACCAACTCCGACAAGAGATTGATCAGAACATGCTAGAGTTCCTGAGACAAGACAGGATTGAAAAAGCAGATGCAGAAGCGTTGCGTGAACAGATTGCAGTCAACCGCAAACTCGGACAGGAATTGGAAGAACAGACGAGCAAGTATCAGTTCTTGTGTAGAGAATTGGAGCAAATGAAGCTAGAAAAAGAGCTCAAAGGAAGAGAAGTCATCCGAGCCAAGAACAGAATCAGATCTCTCAAGAACGATGATGCCACTGAAGAGCTGTTGATTCAGGATGCTGCCAAGAGATGTGCAGAGAGCATCTTGCACCTCAAGGACGTCCAGGCTCAGCATGAAAAGGTCAAGAACGAGAGAAACAAGTACGTGAACCAGATCCAGTCGTCTTCCCAGAGAGCAGCTGAGATGAAAGAGAAGCTCAAGATTCTAGCAAATGAAATCGAAATCTTGAGACACGAGATCTTCAACAAGGACAAGGACTTGACTGTACAACGGTTGACGGTAGAAGCAGAAGCAAGAAAACAGTGCCAAGTACTCGATCAGAGACTCTCTCAAGAACGAACAGAACAAGCTACATCTGTTGTACAAGGCAGGAAGAGACCAGATCAACCAACACATCACCAGAATCGAAGCCTTGAATGCTCACATCAACGAACTGGAAGGAGAGATGGTCTATCTCAAACAAAGATACGAATCTGCTGTCAAAGAACGCAACAAGATTGGTATCTATCTCCTCGACAGAAACGATGAACTTGGTATCTTGTACGAACGCTTGAATCTGCAAAAGGAAATCCTCCTCAAGGGAGAACAGACACTTGTGGATAGAGAGGATGAGATCAGAAAGCTAGAGCTCATCAAGCAAGAGCTCAAACGATACATTGAGTTGGAAAAGGGAAAACTACCACTTGTTGGCAAGTTGCAGAAAGAGATTGATGTTTTAGAAGATGAAAGACAGCTGTTGCATCAACGTTCGATCGATCTCTCCAAAAAGATGGAGAATCCAAACGATCCTCAGCGATGCAGGAACCTGCCAGGTAAAGATCCAACACCGCAAGAGCTTGTACAAAAGATTGAAGAAATGGAAGAGTTCCTGGCTGTCCAGGAAGAGAAATTACTTGAGAAGGACATGATCTTGGAAGAAGTGACCCAACTGGTGACGAGATTGCAGCAACAGACACTGTCTGGCAAAGATGAGACCTATCAAATCACCCAAAAGATCAACGATCTCACAAAGAAGCTCAAGAAAGTGACAGAAAAGACAATGGCCAAAGTGAGTGAGCTGGCAATGAACCAAGCCAAAGCCATGAGTCTGTATCAGGAAAAGAGTGAAAAGGAAGCACTCCTGAAAGAGTCTGAAGCAAGATTGCAGACCGGGGACATTCCAACTGAGGAGATTGAAAAGGACTTTATCAGAATGGAGAGACAGCGTCTGCAAAAGGAGCAAGAGAGAGCCATCAGAAGGGCAAAGGAAGAGAAGCAGCAACTTGGTAGATTTGTGGAAATGTAAGATGATTGACACTAGTGAAGATGGATTCTATGTCTTTGGCAAGACAAGGACCACAGCAGAGCCTCGTCCCAATGCTTACATTCCAGATGCAAGTGGCTACGGTGAGCTTCCTATT